CCAGCCCCTCTCCAGCCTCTCAGGGTCTTCTACTAATCACCCCATTGTGCTGAATTCTGCTGGCACAAGAGCGGGGCTTTTCCAAAGGCACTGTACTAGAAACCCGAAGGAGAGACTAGAAAAGCCGACACTTGGGTTCTTGAGTCCAGGCATTGTTCTAAGGGCCTTGCCTAAAATTTGCACAACAATTCTAAGAGGCAGGTCCCCTAATCAAGAGATGGAGAGGAGAACCTGAGAACTCACAAGCTGAAGCTGGTAAATGGCACAGCTGGGATCTGAATCCAGGCAGTCTGCCCTTATGCAGCACTGCTTTTCCCAAAATGAAAGAAGAAAGTAAAGAAAAAAAAGAAAATAAAAGAGAAAAAGAGAGAGAAAGGAAGAACATTAAAGTCTTCAAACTCTTAATTTTTTAAATGTTTGTTTTTATTTTTAATTTTTTTATTATAGTTAATATTTATTTTTTTAAAGAGAGCATGAGTGGGGGGGTGGGCAGAGAGAGAGAGAGAGAGACAGACAGACAGACAATGTGAAGCAGGCTCCAGGCTCTGAGCTGCCGGCACAGAGCCCAATGCAGGGCTCGAACTCATGACCTGAGCTGAAGTCAGATGCTTAACCATCTGAGCCACCCAGGTGCCTCAAAAGTTTCCAAACTCTTTCAAATTCTTTATTCTGCTTTAAACTGTAAGCTCCCTAAGGGTATTCTCACCCATTGTTTCATTCCTATAGGATAAGACAGAATAAGACATCCATAAGTGTGCACCAAATTTTAAGATCACTAAAGGCCACAGAGGACTGCCTGTCACACCCTAAGGGCACAGACAACATGACACTTCCCCTTGCCTCAACTTTGGCTGGTTAGGGTGCTAGACCCAGCCATATCGACTCCTGGACCAAGGTAGGTTCAGCTGATACAGGAGCCACACCTGATGAGGTCCTCAGGCCTTTCCAGAACTCTTCCCATCTTCTCACTGGTCTCTCCTGACCCTACAGTTACTGACCCAGCCTTGGCTTCTCAGCTAGTCCATATAGCAGCCCCAAATTCCTGCCTGTACCTCCCTCCAAAGACCAGTCAGCCTTCAAGTGGGCCCCTCATGACCCTGCCCTTCAGAAGCCCCGGCCTCGCCAACGCAATTCTCTGCTTGTTATCCTAGAGCATACTGGTGGTTAAGGCTGCCCTTTGCTTACCCCTCAGCTCAGGTCCCTCACCACACAGACTGGGTTTAAGTTGTCCTGAGGCCAGAAGCTCTGGACCCAGGAGCCCCTCGGCTGCACACCTGCCCCCTGCCCACAGCTGACCAAAGACTTTCCTTGGCCACTCCTTCACCACAATCCCTCTGTTGCTCTGTTCCTGATGCGAGAGTTTCCTCCAAATCCCCACACTGCCTCCTGTGACCCACTTAGAATCCTAACTCTCCAGACTTAAAATAGAAAACACTCAACACAAGCTTTTACACTTCCCGCTACCAGCTGAATAAAGGTTGCGTCTTTAGCAAAAACGAAATAACCGCCTACTACTACTAATAGTTGCCCACCAATGCAGAGTGGGTGGCTGGCCATTCATTTGGTCAGCTCTTCCCAGCCCACTTTCTACTTGTCCCCAGGCTGTGTAAGTGCAAGCGGGTCTCTCCTGGTGTTGGTCAGGAGCGTGGCAGTTGGCTGTGAACAGTGTGTTCCGTGTGTTTTCCCCTCCTTAGGAAAAACTCCAAAGCGACTGCTTGCCCTGGCCTCGTCTGTAATCTGGGGCATTGATCTGGGCCCATTGATAGCTGATTGTTTTCACACGTGACTCGGTCGCATTCCTGTAATCTCCAGCCTTCTGCTCAGTTTGCATGACAAGAAGCGGCCTCCGTGGGGAGAGGTCGCTCACCTCTGACCAGGATATAATTGGAAAAAGAAGGTCATTGCTGCCTTTGCTTCTGGAGCAGATCAGCTTCGTTCCATTTGTGTCATGAGCTCTCGCCAGCACACACTCTCAGTGACATGGAGACAATGGCTGTGCCCCAACAATGGGGCCCACAGAGATGTGCTCAACATGACACAAACACACCATGGGGACCCACACTGGCTCTCATCAGGACAGGCATGTACTACACGTGCACACAATAGGTGCTCTCAACAAACGTTGGTAACCCCAAAGACACACAGGCCAGCTCGTGTGACTTCCACATACAGAGGACGCACAAAGAGACTCACAAAACAAAGCTTGCCCAAAGACACAGGTTCCCAATGACGTACACATTGTGGCACAGACATTGCCACAAGGGCAAAAAAAAAAAAAAAAAAAAAGGCAAACAAAAAAAAATCCCCAGGCTGAGCTACCACACCTAGCATGAAAAAATAATGCGAGAGTAATACCTTTCTTCAAGCTGTGCCCATGTAGGAATATATCAGAATTACCTGAGGTGCTTTGACAAAACCCGTGTTTCCACAATCCCTTCCAGCCCCTATACACTTCTTACAATATGAGTGCATGTGGCTAGACACGTTTATGTTGAAAAGCTCCCTCAAGTAATTCTGATATGCCCCCAGGTTGAGAACCATTGAACTGACACCACCAATCTCCCCTTCGTGCCAGAATTCATTGGCAGGGGTGTTGGGCTGTCTTTTATTTTCTCATTCAGTTTGGGAAAGGGCAGGCAGGAGCTGAGAAAAGGATCTGTCTGTGGCCAAGAGATTAGGGGTCAGACAATGGCCAGGAACCGAAAGAGTTAAAACTGGGCATTGATCCCGCAGCGACCTTGGCTGGCCTCGTTAACCCCCCTCACTAGGACTGTCCCGGAGACTCGCCTGCGCTCTGCCAGCAGGATGCAAAGGCCCAAATCCCACACCGCCTCCGAAGCCGCAGCTGCCGCAGACTTGGCAATTTTGGGGGACACTGGCTAACCCCAGGCCTGGTGATCCAGCCCCTGGGCCACTTCCCCATGCAGGGTCCCAGGGTGCCAGAGTCAACACTTATGAAAGCCCGAAGGTTGCTTCTATTCGGGTTGGGGGCAGGGGGCGAGATGCCCTACCCCCACCCCTGTCACGCGGGGAGCTCTCGGGAGAGGGCAAAGGGCACCGCGCAGGGACCAGGCGTCGGTCACTTGAGCCCCAGCTTGCAGGCGCGTAGATCCGCCGGGACAGCACAGGGTCGCGCCGCCCCCTGGCGGTTCAATAGCAGAGTTGAGGCAATAGGGGCGGGCGGCTGCGTGGTCTCCTTGCTCCAGGACAGGTTCCTCCTTCCAGCGTTGGGGAGTGGGGGGACGCGGGAAGGGAAGGGTGTTGAAGACACCCCCCCCGAAGACTGTCCTGTTCTGTCCCTTCCCTTCCGTTCTCCCTCTGTCCCTTTCTCCGTTTTTTCTCTCTTCCTCCTCCCCGCATCTCTCCCACTCTTTCTGCCCTCCCCTCTCCCCGTGTCCTCACTCCCTCTCCTACCCCCGCTTCCTTTCTCTCGTCCTTAGCCCACCCCCTCTGGCCCCCGCGGGGCAGCGCCTCGGTGCGCCCGCTTGGCAGTTAGCCCATTAGATCTCGTACTATTGATCCGCTTCTGAGCTGAAGCTGACAGCCCCCCTTCCCGGTCTCCCCATGTCCCCATTCCCGGCGGTCCCCCCCATCTCCAGGCAGTCCCAGCCCTGCGCCTCCCCCCACCCCCAACTCAGGCCGCGCCGAAGTCTCGCCCTCACGAAGGACAAGAACAAATGTAATTAAAGCGACCGGCAAGGGGGGGTGCGCCCCTACCAGCACCAGTGCGAGCCAGGGTCCCAGCGGCCCGCCCTCCGCCGCCACCTCCCTCCCCCCCCCGCCCCTGCACTCCCCGCCCCCCCCTCCCGGAGCGGGAGCATTTGGGTTGAGCTGCGCCTGTCCTATAAATCCACATATAATTCTCGCCTTTCCTGTTCAGCTAAGGAAAATAAACGTGTAAGGCTGTTTCTGGGAGCCCAGCTCAGGGACCGCTCTAAATTCTCCTCTTATTGAGTCCGGGCTGGAAATCATTCAGCTCGGCGGCGCGCCACCCTCCCCCCAACCCTGCCCGCGCCCGCGCTCGCCGCGCACACGCACGCGCGCACACGCAAGGCAGGAGCCGGGTATATAAATATCTCCAGCTCTCCCCATAGCCGGGCAGATTTATTCCGCTGCCAAGCCTGCAGAAAATTGACTTGTTCATGGAGGCGGCTATTGACACATCACCGGGGGGAGGGTTAGGGGAGAAAGCAGTGGAGCCGGCGCCCCTCCATTATACGTTAATGTAATCAGCAGTGTGCGAAATGACTGCGCGGAAAATAGCATCACTGACATTTATATTAGAGGATATTGATGGCAGGAGCTGTGACCGCATCACTCTGCCTCCCGTTTCCACGGATTGACACAGGAGCCTCTTGTTGGCTCTATCCACGCTCGCCTCCCCTCCCCCTCTCCCCCTCCCGCCCTCTCTCCCTCTCTCCACCCACTCTATGTCTCTCCAGCTCTCCCCCTCTGCTCGCCTCACCCCCACCCCTCCTATTTACTCTTTCAGTCATTCATTTTCCAAATAATTCTGAGCACCTACTGGGTGCCGCGTGCAAGGGTCTCCCCTGCATGCCTCTCTCTCTCGGTTTCTCCCTCTCCTTCTCCCCCACCGTGCCCTTGCCCTCTTGCTCCCTCCTCCCCAGCTCTGCCTCCCCCTCCCCCTTTCCTTGGCTGGGTGGCTGGACCACGGCTGTCACAGCAGATAGATAATTGAAAAATGGGCCTCACCTTTGCAGCCAGCAGGAGTGGTTCAGGCAGTTACTGCCAGGGTTACCTACTCTATCTCAGGCCCAGGCTCCAAAAGAGATTCTGAGGAAATTGGATTTTACATGGATGTTTTATTCGGGCAGAGGCTTTAGTGTATATAAGTACAGGCGAGGAGGCCTTGGCGGCAAGGATGAGTGAGGCGAGACAATCCCGCCTGGGGCCTGCGGGCGGGCCATGTGCTCAGCTCTGGGGCCCAGACCTGGACAGCAGTGCATTTCCCCTTCATCATCTGGGACTAAAAGAGGTTAATGCCTCTGTACAGTTTCTCAAAACCTGCCTTGGGAATAAAAAAGTGTGTGATTGTTGGTAGGACTGTATACTGAGAAAAGAAGGAAATATACTGGAGAAGTTTGAGGACTGATTCAGTATTTATCGAACCTTAACTTGTGAGGCTTTGTGTTTGGGTACAGGAGTAAGTGAGACATGACTGCTGTTTTCAAGGACAGCTGGGAGAATAAGAGCCTTGGCTTTCAGGTTAGGAGCAAAGAATAGGAAAGGTGAGAAAGCGGATGCTGAGATCATTTCCCTAGGGTCTGACATCCGGGAGGTCGGAGGAAGCAGCAGAAGGGCAATTGTTCAGGTTGTAGGGATGAGGGGCCTACCAAGCCTTCAGTCTCCCCTTCCTGGGCCTGGTTAGCAGAGAACATCCAGGAAGAGTTAGATCGTTGTGGCCACCGAATCTGCAGGCAACTTCCCGTCCAAGGTGTTGCAGTGAATCCTGGTGAAAGTCTCTGAGGGCTAGAATTATGGGGCATTAATGATCAAGGTAAGGCCTTCCAGAGAGACAAGGTGTGAAGAGGGCCTGGATGAGGAGCCCTTTAGGGGAGGCCTAAGTTGAAGGTACATGGGCAAGTGAAGGGCATCAGAAGGCCAGGGAGGTGGGATTTGGGTGTGGGAAGGAGGGAGTAGGTGCCCTAGGACAAAGAATCGTCCTGTGTTTAAATGGCCCCGTCCTCACAGAAAAGGATTCATTTCTTGGAAGGAGAGTTCTGCAGGAGCCGTCCCGTGACTGAAGAGCTGGTATTAATGTGGGTAACCAGACTCAGAGCTCACGGAAGGGACAAGGCTCCTGAACTCTGAGCAGAGACAACAGCTGCCTGATTCTAGCCACATCATTGAAAGCTGGACCAGTCCTCCCCCAGATTCCAAAGCCCTCTTGTCCTCTGCCACATTGTTCTACTGTTACATCATCAGCCTGCGGGGGCAGGACAGGTGCTGGGTAGATCATGGCCGTCACTCCAGCTGCCCCGTGCACATCTCAGGCACTCCCAGATGGCATCTAGGAGCTCTAATCCAGCTGTAGGATGGGAGCGTTCTGAGGTAACCGGACCCCCTGCCTGATCTCCATCAGCATCTTCCCTCTCTCTCTTGTAGATTACATTCACCCTGACAGCCCACTGAGGACGGAGGCCCTTCCCAGCTACCGGGGAGCCAGACCACTCCCACTTGCCTTAGTTACCGTTGCCTCCTCCTCACCTCTGCCCTCAGTGAGCCACAGGGACTTGCGTCCTCACTTTCTGCCCCCCAAACTCTGTTCCTGGAATTGTCTTCCCTTCCTTGTGACCCATTTTACATTTGGACCCTGGGGTTCTGGTCTCACTCCACTTCCTAGTCTAGGAACCCTTGAATAGGCTGTCAAGAAGGACATGAGTGTGTGTGTATGTGTGTGTGCACCTGTGCTCACGTGGGCATTGCATGCCCAGGGCACAGGGGACACTGTTCATGAAGCAGGACTTGGTCCCACTTTGTCTTCTAAATTAGGAAATTGAGAAAAATAATAAATTGGGATATTGACATCCGAAAAAAAAATGAGGGGGTGCCTGGGTGGCTCAGTCGGTTAAGTGTCCGACTTCGGCTCAGGTCATGATCTCGCAGTGCGTGAGTTCGAGCCCTGCGTCGGGCTCTGTGCTACCAGCTCAGAGCCTGGTGGCTGCTTTGGATTCTGTGTCTCCCTCTCTCTCTGCCCCTCCCCAACTCGTGCTTGGTCTCTGTCTCTGTCTCTCTCTCTCTCTTTCAAAAAAAATAAATATTAAACATTTTTTTAAAGGAAAAACATGAAAGAGCAGCCAGGGAAGTGACTTCCCACAATGGGAAGGCTGCCTCTCACTCTTCCAGCTCTCACTTCAAGGTGGGTTCCTGGAAAATCATTCTAGGAGCATCTGCCCAGTGGGCCATCAGAGAGGACCCAGGGAAAGGGAGGGGTTGAAGGTGCTAGAAACAGAGCTATGTATGGTTCAATCGTTTGTTATGATTCAGAGCCTGTTCTTTCCTCTCCCTTCATGAGAAGCCAGCTGGAGGTAGGGCTCCAAAGAGAATGGACCTTTTAAAGATAGAAAGCCTGGCTGGCTCAGTCTGTAGAGCATGCAATTCTTGGTCTCAGGGTTGTGAGTTCAAGCCCCACATTGGGCATAGAGGGGCTTAAAAAAAAACTTAAAAAAAAAAAAAAAAGAAAGAAAGCCTGTTTCTGAGGAGCAAAGGGGGCCAGTAGGAGCTGGAAGTTGGATGCCCGGCTGAAGAAGCCAGGCCTTGCAAAGGTACATTTCCAGTCTTAGCAACAAAGCCAATGTTAGCTGTGTGGCTGTGGTGAGCATCACCTGACCTCTCCAAGATTCAGATCCCTCATGTGTAGAATGAAAAAAATGAAGGTATCTTTCAGCTCTAATTTCTGTGATTCTTTTTTTAATTAAGTTTTGATTTTAACTCCAGTATACTTAACATACAGTGTTATATTAGTTTCAGGTGTATAATATAGTAATTCTGCACTTCCGTACATCACCCAGTGTTCATCACAGCAAGTGCCCTCTTTAAACCCCATCACCTGTTTCATTCCCCGCCCCCCACCATCACGCTGTTCTCTATAGTTATGTGTCTGTTTCTCGATTTGTCTCTGTCTCCTTTTTTTTGTTATCCCTTTGCTCATTTGTTTTGTTTCTTAAATTCCACCTAAGAGTGACATCATATGGTATTTGTCTTTCTCTGACTGACTTGTCTCACTTAGCATTATACTCTCTAGCCCCATCCGTGTCATTGCAAATCGCAACATTTCATTCTTTTTCATGGCTAATTTCTATGATTCTAAAGTGGCGAGAGAATATATTCAGAGAGCCCAACCTGGGATGAAAGCAGCAATTCCGGGGTTGAAGATCCGGCATCTTCCAAGAAGGAGGAATAGATAATTGTGGGGCCGGTGGGGCCTGCTGTTACCCTGAGGACTCTTGGAGGCTGGGAACCTGCTGGGCCCGGGACAAGTACAGAGCGGGAAAGCAGCCCGGCCCTGGGGCAGAGAGAAGGCAGGGGTAGATCCAAAAAGCAGTGCCCCCCACATTGTCTCAAGCCCAGAGGCTAATTCTACTCAGAATTTAGCTTGCGTGGCTCAGAGGTGTTGGGGAGAAAATCCAAGTGGCCACGAAGCTGTTGGTCAATTGAAATGACAGGAAGACTGCGCTTGTGAGTGTTCTAGAATGGGTGTTTAGTGAGGGCCTTGGCTTGGTGTCTCCAGAGTTGCTTAGCAGAGTTTTCTAGTTAGATGTTAGCATCACCTTGGCTCTTAGGATGGAGAAGGGATCAAGGCACCCCTAGTGAGTGGCAACAGCAGGACCTCCTTCAGACTCGCTGCAGGAACGAGGGGCACTGTGAGAAGCAGCTGGGGGAAGCAGTCAGGGGTCCCGTTCTAACGGAGACGCCACTCCCCTTCCCATCTTGACTCTGAAGAAACAAGGCAGGTGACCAGCGAGGCCTTGCAGCAGAAAGCTGCCTGGGAGGGTAAACCTCAGAGGGAAAAGACTAGAAGCCCAGAGCACAGGCAGCTGGAAGCCAATGGGCAAGGGAGGAAAGGGGAGGAGAAGGGAGGGAAGATATCCCTTTCCACGGATGTGCCTTGGCGCCTGCCCAGGCAAGAGGGGGCAGATGTCCTGTCTTGTCCCAAGCCCCTGCATTTGCCACCTTGTTTACCTCGTGCCTATTTATAGTTGCAGGCTCCAAGCCTGGCATGGGGCTCTGCGATTTATATGACTATAAACCTCCAAAGGGCACTGAGAGCTGGCAGGGCATGGATAAAGATGGGGGCAGGCCTCTCAAGGTCAAAATGGCCATCCTCCCTTGCCTGTTGACCTTATACCCCACTAAAGAGCAAGAAGTCATAAGGCCAGGCTCAGGCAAAGAAGAGATGAGTGGGAAGCCACAGTTACCTCTTTGAGTCTTCCTACCCTAAGCTTGTCCAGTTTAGGCTTTGGAACAAATTCGAGAGGACCTGTTTTGTTTTGTTTTGTTTTCATTTCCCTTTTGGATAGGGTAGGGAAGCTCCATGTGGGAGGGTGGGTGGATCTCTTCGGAGAGTGTTTGAATTTGGAGAGAGTGAGTTAATCTAGAAAGGAGATCTGCAGCCCAGCTCCCACCTGCCCATCCACTTAGCAGAAGGGAAAAAAGAATCTGGACCCTGCTTGCCTTCTGGGGTGCCTTTGGAAGCCTGAGCTGGCCCACCTCTCACTAAGGCCGGGGTATGCTGGGGTACCTGGTGCCAGAGCCCCCAGTCACCATGGGATCCTGCTAGAGCAGTGCATTTCCCAAATCCTTCCCTTCAGGGGCACCCTCCTCTGCCTCTGGCTAACCCTCTACTTCATGGCCCTCTCCACTGCCTCTTGCCCTCCAGCCCCCCATGTGTTCCCAGCCCACTTCTCCCCCAAAAGTGCCCTACACCGTGCCTGCTATCCCTGCTTCTTCTGCCGACTCTCCCAGGTCTCCTGCTGTAAACTTACCCCCCGCCCCCAACCCTCTGCACTGGTCCCAACCCCATGATTTGTCACCTGAGCATTAAGGCTGGACAGAGCTCAGTTCTGTGTGTGTGTATGTGTGTGTGTGTGTGTGTGTGTGTGTGTGTAAGAATGTGCTGGGTAGGTGGAGAGTCACATGTCATAGGCCAAATGTGCGTGAACATGAAGGAGAGGAGAAACCCAGAATGACCTTCTCCTTGACTGCTTTGTTTATGTCTCATCAATCTCTAGTCTGCTGGATTAAACCCAAGGGCTGGCAGAGGGGAAGTGTCTCTTAGAGTCAATGTGGCCCCTTGGCCATTTCTGGGCCTCCTTTGACCCTCCCTTGCCCGTCACCACCATGGGCCTTAGCCCCCTCAGGAGTGGACTAAATGTGGTGGGGGACAGGCAGAGCTGGGGCTGCCCAGCTGAGGCCAGTCCTCTAGTGGGGGGAGGGGCACTGGAGGACATTGAACTGTCAGTCAGTATATACTCCTGCCTGGGCTGGGGCTTTGTTTTGGCCTTAGAGATGGGTTAGGCTCTGGGTAAAGTAATATTCCAGGGAGACTAGGAGGTCCCAGGGGGATGGGCCTGTTCTCAGGTTCACTCCTCCCTTCCCCCTTCCCAGCCCAGCACACAGGAGTGGGAAGGCAAATGAGGGAGTCAAATCAAAGCCTTTTCCTTCTCTCAGGAGGGGAGACAGGAAATGGAGAAGATTCCGGAGTCCAGAGAGTCCCTTTCAGTCACTTACTAGTCCACTTGTTACCCAGTGCCTTCTACGGGATGAGGGTTGGGGATCTGGCAAACATAGGTCTGGTATGAGGAGACGGGGTCTGAGGACCTGGGGAGACATCAGGGACCTGGGTAGGGGTAGGGTGCAGTGGAGAGGAACCCAGAGGACCTGCACAGGGCTGGGAGGACAGAGCTTGCCCTCTTGCCCTCCCCCAGAGGGAGGCAGCAGAGGACCATGGGAATTGCCCCATCCACTTTCCTTTGTGCCCACTGTCCACCATGGAACCCATAGCAAGGGACTCTCCTGGTTTGAAGGTTTCGCACCTCCAGCCCCTGCCCCTCTGCTGGAGAGAGAAGGGGGAAGTCAGCCTGTTCTCGACCCCCATAAGCCCCTCTATTCATTCCTAAGCAGAGGCTCCTCTCCTTCATGCTTGGAGCTTGGAAACATAATTTTGTCCATTCCATCTCCTTACATTCCTCACCCTCAACCTCCCCAATTCCCGATCTCCCACATCCCCTTGGGGGCCATGACACAGCCCTGAGTCACCACCCTGAAGAGGCCCATTCTATCTTGGGGAGATGCTCTGTGCCTGCTGGGCCATGACCATGACAACTAGACATAGTTTGCATCTGATTCCCAATCTTCCCTAGGGAGTTTTGAATGATGGTCACGCCCACATACTCCTGATGTCTCTTTTCTCCTACCCCCATTTAGGCACTCACCAGGCCTACTTATGTGGGTATGAGGACCAGATCTGGATATAGAGAGGCACTGAAAGACAGTTCTCATGCTGCAGGTCAGGCTGGCATGCGGGCGGTGGCTGGGTGGAGCTCTGAGATGTGGCCTTGAGTGAGATAAGAAACCAATGCCTCCAAGCCTAGAAACCTTCCCCCCACCCCCACTAGTATGGCATCTCCATGGTCGCTCAGCCTGGCTGGAGAAGAAGGTGGGGGTGGGGAGCAGCAGGGAGCACAGGCAGGCGGGGAAGGAGAATAGTAGGGGAGAGGGGAGGGCACCGGTCAAGGAACTAACATCTCAGTTGCTGGCAGCTCAAAGTTAGGAAACTAGAAGGAAACCAGAAGCTTCAAAGTTAGACCCTGGGCAGAGACAGCATTCCTGGGTGGCCACCTGGGCATGAGGTGGAGGGAGCTAGGGACAGAATAGCCTTAATTTGAGGACGATCTCCAAAAGGAAGGTAAGAGGTAAGAGCAACCAGGTTTTTTGAGAAAAAGAGGGCCAAGGAGTCCCTTTTTTTAAAAAAAATTTATTTATTTTTGAAAGAGAGAGAGAGAGAGAGAGAATGAATGGGGGAGGGGCAGAGAGAGAGGGAGACACAGACTCTGAGTCGGACTCCAGGCTCTGAGCTGTCAACACAGAGCCCAACGTGGGGCTCGAACTCACGAACTGTGAGATCATGACCTGAGCTGAAGTCGGATGCTTAACTGACTGAGACACCCAGGCGCCCCTAAGGAGTTCCTTTTGAACCCTTATCAAGGTATGAGTGGCTGAGAGAACTGAACCCTGGGAAGCAGAGCTGGGATCTCGACGGAAAGGAGCCCACGTGTTAGTAATCAGCATAGCTACAGAGAAGGAGCGTGGCGGAGTGGCAGGATGGCACTTATCTCTCTTATCCAGTCTCCTGCTATTGGTGTCAAGAAGCCTGGTCTCAGAGCATCCAAGATGTAAGGCAACAGGCACCTTACAGGTCATCTAGCCTAGCACCCATTTTACAGATAGGAAAAGAGAGGCACAGAAGGGAAGGGTGGCAGTCGGTCCCACCGCTTAGCCATCCACCAGCCTAGTTTGCAGACCCCACATTAGCCTCATCCTGTGGAACTCCAGGCTTATCTGCCTGCCCCAAAGATTTGTTCCCAGATTAAGTTATCCCTCCTCCATCTGCCCTATTGATGCTCTATGTTTACATCCCTCCAGATCTGCCTGCCTGAGGAGCCCTGGTTAGAAAACCTCCCTTTTCGTTTCCTAGTCCAGATTGGGGCTTCTTAGAGGCTCCCTTTGCAACCTGGGATGTCACCGTCTTTCTGTTAAAATGTCTCTCCCACTCTGCCTTGGCCTCTCCCTCTTTCTCTCTTCTTCAGCTTTCCTCCCTCCCTCCTCTCGCCAACCCCTCCTCTAGATAGAGCCCCTGAACTGCCAAGATGAATCTCTGAAGCTTACGGTTCTGGCCTGTTCCTGGTAACTGAGCTGTGCTCTCTAGAAGTGATGGGGGAGGGAGGCAGTGGCGGCCTGGGGTCTGGTCCTCCTCCCACTTGCCTAGAGCCCCCATCCCCACCACTGTGATCCGGCAGAGGGGGTGAAGAGGGGAGAGGTGGTAATGCTTTCTCTTCTCAGCCCGCCTTCTCCAACTCTCTGTCTCCCTGGCTTCCCCTCCCTGCTTCATCTCCAGCACAAATCACATGGTGACAGCCCCATCCAACCTTTGGGGAAGGGTTTGTAAATGTGTCTTCCTTAGCTCTGATCTCCAAATTGTTCCTTTTATTGCATTTGTCACGGTGAAGATTAAAGTCCCTGGGTGGCCTGCACCACAAATCACAGTGTGCTCTCAAGAAGCGGCTGCAGGTTGGGAACTGATGGAGGGGTCCAGGCCCCGCCCACACTCCCAAGCACACAGTGCCATCCGTAATGTGGACTTGTACCTGGGAACAGGAAGATGGGCCGCTGCTGTTGTCATTCTGAGCTGTTGGCTCTATTTATAGCACAGTTTGTGACCTCTTCCTCGAGGCTGTCTTCCAGGCTTACTCTGCCCGTTCCACAGTGGGTATCACTATCTCTGTGGGTCTGTCTTCTCCATGAGATGAGAGAGAAAGCTGTGTTCACATATGCCTCTGTATCTCTGGCCATATCAATCTCTAGATCTTCTCCTGGAAACACTCCGAATGGGTCAAGGGCAACTCGAGCCCAAAGCCCCCAAGGAACCCATGTCCAGGATGCAGAAAAATAGCTGATCCTACCTTGCCTGGCACCTCCAGACCCTGACTTTCCTTCTCATCCTGCCACACAACTGGGTGCAGAAGCGGCACAGCTGAGGGACCAAGAAGACAAAAGCCCCTTGTACACACGCACAGAAAAACAGTTCCTTTCCTGCCCCCTTATGAGGTAGGCTTCCTGCCTGTCCCTCATGCACATTCATAACATTCAAATTTATGCCGTAATCTCCGCCGCTCCATATGTATGAGCCTTTGATGGGTGTTTGGGTTTATGGGATGCACCCAGCCCTCCGTTCCCTCGCCCGCCCACCGCCTCCAACCACTGCAAAGACGCTCGTACATAATTGACATCGGCAGATTCTTTCATTATACAAGATTTAGCATCTGCTCGGGGATTGCTCGCTCCTCACTCACTATAGATGACTTTTCCCCGAGTTTCCTATTATCAATTCAAATTAGCCCCATTTCCCCACCCGACCAGCGCAGCATTTACACTTGACAGTGAGGAAACAGCAAGGCTGTAATGGGCTCCTCAATTATTTAGGCCCAGTTAGGCCAGGACCCAGAAGGCCTCAACAAGGGGGTGTGCTGAGGTGAGGTCATCACAGAGGGGAGGAGAGGGTCTCCACCATTTGGTCCGTTTGACCTTCTCATAGCCCCGCACTCTCGCTTTCCATACTGGGGAGTCCTTCCTCTCCCATCCGGGTCTCTAAGGGGTAGGACAGGACCCTGGCTGCCTCCACCCTCAGCAGCAGCTCCTCTCTCCGCCCCCCGCCCCCCCCCCATCTTGTCTTTGCTCCATATGAATACCAATGAGCTACCAGCAGAAACAGAAGAGGTCATTGGCACCAGCCAGCAGCCAGGCTGGCCCCCTCCCCTTAAGATGTCTATCTTAAAGCGCATCTCTGTGAAGATTCAAGGTAGTAGGCTAGGATTTAGAGAGCGTGGCAGAGAAAGACCGAGACAGACACCAGTGAGAGAGACCAGATTCATGCTATGGAGCCCTAGGAAGAGAAACTCAGACTCAGAAACGGGGATCCGTGAGAGCGTGAGGGGGGCCAAGAGACATGCTGTTTGGGAGAAGTCACAGAGAAGAAAAAGGCTCGGGCAAGGCCCTTTCTCAGACCAAACTGGCTGTGCAGAACTGTAATGAGGTCAGTGCTGCCCCGTTTCTGGTCTGACTAGCCCAGGCCCAGCCTCCTGTAATAACTCTCGGGCCCAGTGGCTATTCAGGAGTCACGGGGTCCTCTGAGCCCACTAAATGGCCCAAGTCCACGTCAGCATGGAGGGCCTCAGCCCTCATTCTAGTCATCCCACTGCCATCTCAAGTGGGCTCCTCCCACACCCCTCCTGTGCTGGGGGGGTCACCCCTCCCTTATTCTCTCTAGCCCCCAGCCCCTCCCTTTCCCCAAGCCCAGATCAATTTGCAAGGGCTATGATGAGGGAGGCAACAGGCAGGGATCTGAGAGGCTCTGGGATTAGAGGTGTCTTTCCCATGCTCGGCTTCTCCAGAATCAAAGAATTCCACTGTCTGATTGGATTTACCCTAAGTCACAGGCGTGTGGGACCTTCTTTCCCTCAGCAACAGCTGGAAACAGCCCTAAATATGATTAATTAACGCTGTAAAAAGCCCTGGACACAATTAAGATTTATGTGTGTGCCTGAATACGTGCACACATGCGTGTGTGTGTGTGTGTGTGTTGGTAGGAGACGGGAGTGGGGGGGAGACGGGTGGATTACCAGCTACCTACAGGCCCTCCAGGGGAGTGGAGTGATATATCCTCAGAGACATTCCTTCAATATCCATCCCAAGCAGGGGTCATGTTATCCAGCCTCCAGCTTTTGAGCAGATTAGCCCCTTCCTCTGTCCAGGGGCACTGGGTGATTTTCTGCTCTCTCTTCCCTGATAAAGCAAGGTCGGGGGGTGGGGGCGGGGGGGAGTGTTCTGGGGCAGGTGCCTTATCTCTTCTCCCTACACCATAAGAAAAGTGTTCTCTCTCAACCTCAATTCCTCTTGCTGGGTCATTCTAGGGATCAGAGACCTATGCACAATCCCCCAACACAGCTGCCTAGACACAAGTCCAAAGGGACATAAAATAGGAACCTCAGAGGAATCCGAATAAACAAGCCACCAGCCAAGCTTCCTGCCCTTGGAGATGTCTCACTTTCATCTTCAAAGACTCATGTCTCCAAGACAGGACAGAAATCATTTCTTTGGACTCCCCCTGCATCTCTAGGATGACAAAACCTCTTTGGAGTGGCCCTCTCCTGACATCTGTGTGATTTGGGTGGTCGTTCCCCATGGTGTGGACACCCTATCTTTGATAAGACGCTTGTGATGATCAATGTTATATATAATTCTGAAACAGAGGGAACAGGAACACAGACAATTCCAAACAGCAAGTTATCTGAAAAATCAGTCCTCGGGAATCGTTGAAAGAAGACTGGATTTTAATTTCTTTTATTTATCACAAATGATTGATCTACTTCTGTTTTGCTGAGATGAGTAGGCCCAAGAAGAGGTTACCTAGATTCGAGCACTGATGGCCAAAGATGGAATGGACCAGAAGGAGCGTGGAAAAGCTCCAGACACTGCATCCCCTCCCAGGATCATTCTGGGGTCAGTGGCCTGAGTGCCTAAGGCCGCTTCTGCGGCTCAGTCCGCATCAAGGGTGAGGACTGCCTGGAGGATCCTTGGGAGAGGGCCATCATATATCCTGGTGGAGTCCATAACAAACACAGCCTTAAGCCACTAGGACTGGAGTTCAACTTCCTGATATCAAGGCCAGGGAGCGTGGGAACTCCTTGTCAGTTTCCTGCCTTCACAGTACAGGCTTGTTGTGAGGATCAAACCGGGGGGGGGGGGGGGGGGGGGGGGGGGGGGGGGGGGGGGGGGGACATTCCAGAGACCCCAGATGCATGTGTGTTGGCTCTACCACATGGGTTAACTGTGCAGAGTGCCCCTCCCACCCCATTTCCAATCACACCCTTTGGGATCTACAGAGTACCACTTCCAGGGAGAGAGGAGGGGAGATGAGACGGTGTGAGCAGCAGCCCTAGGTCCCAGTGGGCAAATGAGGAGGAGGAGGGGGCAGAGAGGAAGGATGTTGGCAAGAGGTGGACAGGAAGCCAAGCTGGGGATGGGCAGCTCCTCTGTGAGTGTCCTTACGCTTTCTTACAGACCGTCTGCTTCTTTGGTGTCTGGTATTAGAGTATACACAGGTGACCTTGTGCAACTCTATAGGGCAATGTGTCCCTGCATGTGCTGTATCTCTACTCTGTGTCAATACTTGTGACCCTATAGCTAGGGATAGGTGTGTCACCAGAAAGATCAAGAAATTAGGGGATTACCCAAGAGACCAAACCAGGCAACCTGAGTCTTTGCTGAGCATAGTGTTTACAACAAGCAAACATGAAATGGAATGCCTTGAGGAGAGGCACGTACTTTTGAGAGAGGGCTGAAGACCCCACCACTCCCTGTTACCTTTCACTGGTTGCAGACTTACATAATCTGCCTGGCACTCCTTGAGTCTGTCACCTCCTGGGAGAGAAGGAGATGTGCTACTATTTGCCCATGAATTGGCTCCGAATTATTAGCTTCTTTCAGAGAGAAAGGCTGGGAATGGCCACCAGATTCTCTGAGACTGAGATGTACTGGGAACCACTTCCCTTTTATTTCTTCAGAGTCAGGAACACGTGTACTGAGGGAAGGAAAGTCCCATCCTCCTATGAGTGAGAGGAATGCGATCATACAGATGACACTGGTACCCAGTCCGCCTCCGTGGGACTCAGAACTTGACACACTGCCTCTTCCCCGTCAGTTCTGAGCTGAGGCTGAGATATGAGACAGACAGAGGGGGAACAGCGTAGAGACCCCAAGGGAGTTACTAATTTCCAGTTGGTGTACCCCAGACACGGGCTTCTGCCAGAGAATGGGGATGGAGAGAGGTTTGGCCTGATGAGATGGCTGTCAGGCAGACCGGTGGCTCAAACCAGTGGCCTCACAGATAGGCAGGCTCTCCTTCCTGTCCAGCATCTTATCACCACCCTGCCCCACCCTCCATCTTCCTGGGAGAAAGGAAGTCCTAAGGCACGTTTTTTCTTGAATTCGGAGCAGGTAGCTGGGAATGTGTGGGGCTGGATGTGGTGCTGGGGATCCCGCTTGCTCTTAGTCCCTGCTTCACTCCAGCAATCAGCTTTTCAGAAGTCTCAGTGGACCTGAGAGGGTCAGGCCCCTGAGGGCGACCATACATGATCAGGTCTATTCCTAGTACTTTACCATTCAGGCAGCAGCTTCTGGAGTAGAAAGTAAGCCATTCATTTGACTTCTAAGAAGCCTAGAATAGAGACAGGAAGGGAATAAAGGATGACTTAGAGGGAATACAAGAGTGTTAGTATTTTATAGTCATCGTTTATTGAATGTTTATTTTGTGCGAGGTAGTGCACTGAATATTTTACATACTAGGTCTCATTAATGGTTACAACCATTCTGTGAAGAACTTTCTGCTCAGATAAGATTGAAGGTCCGGGGTAAAAAACAGGTCTGAAGCCACACAGCTATTAAGTGGTGGATCTGGCTCTTTCCATCCAGGGGCACTGCCTCCTTCAGATTTAAAATCAATATAAAAACCTGAGGTCAATAGGGAAGGTGGGGGTAAGGCAGGTTACCAGATTCGGTGAATAAAAACACAGGATGCCGAGTTAAAGTTGAATCTCAGAAAAACAACAAAGTTGGTTTAATTATGTCCTATTTAGGACATGCTTATACTAAAAAGCTATTTGTTGTTTACCTGAAATTCAAATTTAACTGGATATCTGCATTTTATCTGGAAGATCTAGGGTGGGGCCCAGCCCTGCCCCATTTCACCCAGAAAGCCCTGAGGGAAACAGACCTCAAATAAAAGGCGGTCTCAGGCGGCACTGACACCTCTCCTCTCTCTCTAACCATGGCTGATGCCTCACAGAATGGCGCCGACTCCGTGTAGGGCGTCTGGGCACCTGACCGGCCCCCAGCTCTGGGGGAGATCACACCCACTCACCAATCTGTAGGGATGAGCCCCTTTTCATCCCAGCAATGGGCTGCTCCATAGGCAGTGGCGGCGGACACCACCTGGGGAGGGGGAGAGGCAAGGGGCGCCCAGCAGAGGTCCCTGAAAAAACAAAATTAAAACTTACAGGAGGAAAAAGTCAGGAAATTTGAGATGTCAAAAAAGCATCAAAGCAGTTATCATGGGGAAAATAAAAACTTGCTGACATTTATTGTAGGGCATAGTGCTGAATTATATAACGGGGGTAGGTGTGGGGGTGGAGGGGTCAACTGTCTAATCCGTTCAAGTTCTCTGACCTCTAGAGGGTGAGTCTAACTCGGGGCCGGCCTGGGAGGGGAGGTGGGGGGAGCTGCTCCTACTTCTCCCCTAGTCCCAAGGTCTCGAGCCCCGCTGTCGCCCCACCTCGCGGCCCTGGTCCTAGCCGAGCGCCCACGCGGGCTCGCGGTCCCGCTGCTCTGCGCGCTAAGCCCCGCTCCGCTCCAGCCCAGGCTCCAGCGCCTGCTCCAGCGCGCGCTCCGGCGTCCGCGCGTTCGGGCTCCCGTTGCCACTCCCGGCTCGGCTCGCTCGGCTTGCTCCGGGCGTCTCCCTACTGAAGAATTATGTTGCATAAAGCAGCCGCCACCATCTTGAACTGGCAGTGAACTTTGCTTTCTACATATAAATACAGATAGCAATCACACCCCAATCAGCGCCGAGGCTTCAGGGCATCATCTCAGCAACTCTAACTTTCCCATTACGATAATGTGATTTTCACTCAGTCTATAATATCACCAGCCATGAATAAAGCAACTGGCTCTTTCTGTCTCTCTCCTCCCTCCCCCCCTTTCTCTGACTCTCTGCCACCCTCCTCAGTCTCTTTTCTTCTTCTCCCTCTCTCCCTCCTTTTCTGTCTGTCTCTGCAACCTCTCCTGATATCTGTCTTCATCTCCATCTCTGCATCTCTGAGCATCTTGGGCTTCCTCTCCCTGCCTCCGCTGGCCCCCCTCCCTCCCAGGGACTCACATTCCCTAAATACTAATGACAGGGATTTGCAGTGCCCAGGGCTCAGTTAAGTTCTGCTCCCCAGCTCTGCCATCATCTGCCTTTGCCTGAAGGTGAGAAACTGCGGGCTTGGAGGTGGTGGGGGCCGCCTGCAGGGTTTGGGGGACGGGAAGGAGATGGGGAGGAGAGGCTGGGAATTGGCTCCTTCCCTCCCCTCTCCTTCTTTCCTTAGGTCCCTGGATGGCTCTGGAAGGCTCCCTACCAGGAGCCATAGCCGGAGACTCAGGAACTGAAGGATCCAGCAGGGAGAGCTGAAAGCTGCGTGCTTAGGGGAGGGTCCTGGAGACTCTGGTTTTCTGGATATTGGGGACCCCAAACCCAGCCAGATTCCAAGTGCCAGACTATTGTGAATGGATAGAGTTGGTGAGAGGGTGCTCTGGAGAGGCCTGGGGGAAAGGAGGCACTAGCCTTCTAGGGTCACTTCTGAGGACACTGGGCCCTAAACTTGGAAAAGCTATCCAGACTGGAGCTGCCTTTGCCAGGACATGGAATAAAAGGTCACAGCCTTCATCCAGGTGTCAGCCACCTTATCAGAGCTCTTGGGAAGGCCTCTTGCCTTCACGAACACCCTCCAGGATGGTAGTGGTGCTGGTCAGAGGATTGTCTGTGCCTCTGGTCATTAGTTTATTTATTTGTCGCTCTATGGTTGTATTCTAGTTCTTTCACCTACGACTTTTGGGACCGTGGACAAGGCTCTTAACTTTTCTAAGCCTCAGTATCTTCATCTGTAAAATGGTATAATAACAGCGCCTGTCTAGTGAATAAGATAATGCATTAACACAGTGCTTGACACGTGGTTAAATGTTCAATAAATGTGAGCTATTATTACTATTAGCAAATACTGAATAACCACATACTGGGTGGGTTAGGCAGTATACCACAGAGGTTAAGAGCCTACGGTTTTAGAGTCAGACTGTCTGAATTTGAATCCTAGCTTAGCCACTTACCAGCTTTGTGACCTTGGAAAAGTCACTTAGCCTCACTCACAGTCAGTTTCCTTATCTGTAACCGCAATAATAATAGTCCCTATCACAAGGTTGTTATAAGAGTGGCACAGGCTAATCTAGCGTTTGGCGCAGTGCTGACATATGGCAAGGGTTCGAGGAATATTAGGAGTGGGGGTCTGGCACGGCAAATCCAGCCATGGGTGAGGCACACACTGCCGAGGGTCCCAGAGACCACATTCTGCCTGCGGGCCATTCTTTGGGCTGCTGACGCCCTTGACCTTTCACTTCTGTGGAGAATGAGGGCTTGCTTCAATTTCGCTGGCTGTTAAGAATTGCAGCTTTCCCACTGCCTGCTTGCCTGGGAGGGGATTAGGATTCCTGCCCATGCCCTTCCTTGGGCAATGTTGGGGATTGAATACACTGTCCTAGGCAAGGGTTACAAGGTCTAGAAGGCAACTCTTGAATTTGCTCCCTTCGGCAGAGGTGATGAATTAGAATCAGACAGCTGCATTCTGTCCATTTCTGCATTTCTAAGGTTTGTTTGCTTGCTTGCTTGCTTGCATTTTAGTTTTTCTTGGTTTCTCTCTGAAGGATCCTTTGGAGATATTCCAGCCTGATCTTGGATGAAAGAGAGGAAAGAAAGAGGACTCTACTCACTTCGGTTGGGTCCTGGAGGGGTACCAGGTGTTACGGTAGTCAGGGTTGGGGCTTTGGGGAAGAACCCAGGGGGCAAGTGTCAGGCCACTTGCTTATTTGGATCTCTCTGCTCATCTGTAGCCTCTTTACTTGGTTCCAGGAGCCAAGAAACTACCCTTCAAGATCTAGAGCATAACCCAAAGCCGCCTTCACCAAGTGTTTTAGCCAAGGGAACCAAACTCATTGTCTTTCCCCTACTCACTGTCCCCCTCAAAGACAAGACAGTCCCATGCCTTCTAGATGATCACAGTCCAGTAAGAGACACAGGCATGAAAACAAAGGAGGAGAAGACACAGAGCCAACATAATAGGCATAACTACAGGGTACTGTGGGGACAAAAAGGGAGTGTTCACTCAGGTAGCCCTTTCTAGAGCTGGAGGTTCAGCTAACAGTGAGCAAAATGGGAGGGGGAAGAGAAGAGCATTTAAGGTAGAAGAAAGAATGGCATTTGCAAAAGCCTTGAGGTGTCACACAGCCTGGCACACTTGGAGAACTGAAGTACGGAGGGTAGGGTTACTTTGATGGAGGCCACTGGAAGCGGACAGATAATAAAGGGCCATGTGAACTTGATTTCTAGCCTAAAGGGCTTTAGCAGTGGAGTGATTTGCACTTCTAAAAAATAGCTCTGAGGATGATGAAGAAATGCGAGAAGGGTGCAGCCAAAAAAAGCTAGAAGTGGAAGGGTGGTGAGGAGGCTCTTCAAACCCTACAGGTACGAGACAAAGAGACCAGCATCTGGTGGTGGTGGTGTGGGGATTACCGAGGAGTGAGGCTGGAGAGAGCCTTTCAGGGAACTGACAGAATTTTCTACCTGAGGGGTATGGAGACGATGAGGGAGAGGATCCCTGGATGACTGCCAGGTCTTGCCTGGGTGAATGGTTGGAAGTGACAGAGATGGAGAACAGAAGAGATGGAATAGATTTGAGGAAAGAAAAAATATTGAGTTCTGATTGGGACGTGTGTATGGCACAGTTGTCTGGAGTACATCTCAGCGCAGGTATGAAGGAGGCTAAGAGACTGTTAACTTTATCTCCACACATTCGGAAATTAAGATGTCTGACAGGGAGCTGGAAATTGTGTGTGGAGTTCAAGAAAGAAGTCTTGTCAGGGTACATGGATTAGAGAGTCGCCGGCTTCTGGATAGTAATTAAGGGCATGGGAAGGAGGTCCGTTACTTGGGAAAGACAAGTGAGGAGAGAAGGGGGTAAGAGTAGAATCTTAGGGAGTATTGGCACTTGAAGGGGTGGTTTTTGGGGTGCCTCGGTGACTCAATTCATTGAGTGTCCAACTCTTGATTTTGCCTCAGGTCATGATCCCAGGGTGGTGGGATCGAGCCCTGTATCAGGCTCCACACTGGGCATGAAGCCTGCTTAAGATTCTCTCTCCCTCTGCCCCTCTCCCCAACTCATGCTCTCTCTCTCTCTCTCTCAAATTAAAAAAAAAGCATTAAAACAAAATAAAAGGGTTTTCAACCTTGGCAACCATTTGGATCAGGCAGAGAACTTGAAAAGCACCCATGTCAGGGCACCTGGGTGGCTCAGTCAGTTAAGCCTCTGACTCTTGGTTTCTGCTCAGGTCATGATCTCACGGTTCATGAGTTCAAACCTTGCTCAGCACAGAGCCTGCTTGGGATTCTTTCTCTCTCTCTCTCTCTCTCTGCTCTTCCCCTGCTCTCTCTCTCTCAAAATAAATAAATTAACTTAAATATTTTAAAAGAAACAGGAAATAAAAACACCCATGTCTAGGCTCTAACCCAGACCAACTAAATCTGAATTTTTGAGAGTAAGCTGTAAAAGTTCCTCAGGTTGAGAACCCAGTGACTTAGAGGGAGGACAGAGGAACAGGGCTAGCAAAGGAGACTGAGAAGGAGTGTTCAGGAAGATAGGAAGAGTTTCAAATAGGTAGAGTCCCAAAGCATCACATTGTGCAGAAGAATAATGGTTAGCTCCTACCCAGTATGTGTGCCATGTCAGGGACTTTATAGGAACTCCCTGAATCCTCCTGGAGACTCTACGAGGCAGGTACCATTATTATAAATGACCTTTAAATGATAAGGAAACTGAGGCACAGGGATATTAAGTACTAGCCCAAAGTCACACCACTAGCAAGCAGAAACCAGGATTTGAGCCCAGGCAGGCCACAACCAAGTCTGTGCTCCTGACCACTGTGCTAGGCCACCTCTCTTGCGGTGGCTGAGTGAGAAGAGCATTGTTCCTGGCTTTCGCACTTAGCTGCTCAGAATAACTTCCCAAGGGGTCAGCTCTCCTCCTCTTCTCCTTAATCTTCTTTCCGTCTCTTTCCCTTTTGCCTCTTACCATAGGTCACTAAGGGCTGCTCCCCACCCCCTCCGGCCTTCTTCTGGCTGATGGGGACAGGTGGGGGTGGTTCTCCACCTTCCCTCTTGCTGAGACAGAACAGTCTGCCCCTTATCAAGTGGCCACAACTATGGGGCACATGGCCAATAGCCTCTTCATTCACCAGGTGGAGCTGCTCATTTTTCTAAGCCTCCACAGTCCAGGAGGGAGGTGGGGAGTGAGGGTGATGCAGAAGAAATAGAGGATTCCATCCTCCCGGGAAGTAAGTCTTCTGGGAAGTCGGTGCAGAGATAGAACTTGAAGAGGAAGAAGACTGGAATCCGCATTCACACGGAGGGGATGTGAGCATAATCAGACACCTGGGATATCCCTACCTGTTAGAATTCCCAGGTGTCTGGGCACCTGCGTGGCTCAGTTGGTTAAGTGTCTGACTCTTGATAATAGCTCAGGTCATGATCTCACAGTTCGTGAGTTCGAGCTCCACATCGGGCTCCTTGCTCACAGTGCGGAGCCCGCTTGGGATTCTCTCTCTCTTTCCCTCTCTGTCTGCTCCTCCTGCACTCTCTCTCTCAAAATAAACAAATAAACTTAAAAAAAAAATGTGCCTGCCAAGGCTGTTACAAAGATCAAAGACAATGCTATATGTAAAGCTTCTGACTCCAACTTAAGTGTAGAATTCCGAGGGGTCTTCAAAAAACATACCACAAGGGCCACCACCAGAGCAAGTGGATCAGAATCTCTGGGGCAAAGTGGTCTTTCAAAGCTCTGCAGGTGATTCTAAAGTGTAGCCAGGGTCAAGAACCACCACCTCAAGAAGAGCCCAGGATAAGTATGAAAAGGCCCTGCTTCTAACCTTACTTGTGTTACTTCCCAGCTGAGCAGTCTTAGGAGACCCACTGGACCTCTCTGAGCCTCAATTTTCTTTATCTGGAAAGTAGGGGTAGTAATCCCGTCCCTGCCTACTTTACACAAGTAGTTATGATGCTTAGGTAGACTACTGGATATGATGTATTTTGTTAATTATTTAGGACACTATAGGGGCGCCTGGGTGGCTTAGTCGGTTGAGCGTCCGACTTTCGCTTAGGTCGTGATCTCGCGGTTCGTGGGTTCGAGCCCCGCGTCGGGCTCTGTGCTGACTGCCAGCTCAGAGCCCAGAGCCTGTTTCAGTCTGTGACTCCCTCTCTCTCTGACCCTCCCCTGCTCACGCTCGCTCTCTCTCTCTCCTAGAAATAAATAAAACACATTAAAAATTAAAAAAAAATTATTTAGGACACTATATAAAAATGGGATGGAATTAACTTATGTAGACATTGAAATACACATAAGCTTATCTGTTCATTTGACACAGGTTGGTGCACTTGAGTACACACACACACACACACACACACACACGACAGCTGCTGATTGTGTTCTGAAAGCAGAGCTGTGGTTTTCTAGACATGGTCTTTTATGTTTTTAGCTTTCAGAATGTGCCATTAAATTATGGAGAGAGGATCTGGTGTGCACGCGCGTGCGTGTGCACGGGCATGTGTGTGTGTTTAAATGATTGCTAAAGTGCAGCATCATTTGAGTCTGCCTGTCAGCCTATCAGAAACGTCATCTATAACGTTCACTGTTTGCAGTTTAATCTCCCCTGCCTCCCCACGGGCCCTGTTCTGACATTTTAAACCCCATAAATGACAGTAGTGCTCTAAGCCATTTTGAAAAAAGCCAAGCATTTGGAAAAAACACACATAGAGACATACCCCTAAATTCCCCTTCCCCTGAACACATGCTCACTCACGCTCATAAGTGGATTCACACACATGCTCACATCCCTGTACTGGCTGATTTGGGAGAAGTCACAGATTACAACCAACATGAATACACATGCGTGACAGCAGGGCGCAGATGGATGAAGGCGTGGCTGTGTATCTAATGCCTGTGCGCGCATTCCAGTGGACACACAGTGGACATACCTTTCTGCTGCCATCCTCAAGTCCCGTCCGTTCTTCTGCTCCTTGGCCTTGAAAGACAGCGGAAGAATCCAGGTCCTTGAAAGGCTGCTTCTGAGAGCAGTGGGGTGATCTGAAAGGCTGACAGGCCCCAACTCTTATGGTGTCAGGCAAAGATGTATATTAATAGGCTCAGGGTCCATACTCTTGGAAAGCCCAGGGGTAGGAGGGGATAGCTAAGCAATGACCATTCCACCCTATCAGCAACCAGATAGCTTGCCACATTTGGGGACTAGAGTGAAAACAGGAAACCCAGAACTACTTACTAAAGGGACATAGTGTCTGAGTATAGCAGATACTGACGGTATCCACGAGGCAGGTCCCTATCAGCTCCCAGCTGTATCCCTCAGGCCTGACACAGGGTCTACAGAACACCAGAGGCTCATAAATACTTGTTGAATGAATGACTAAAAGAATGTATAAGCTCTAGAGGGAGTAAGTGGTCAGGGGAGTATGTGTGTGTATGTGATGGTGTTGGGGATGGGAGATTGGCCAGTTAAGGACAGTTTTTTTAGAAAAGATGAAAAGTTCCAACCTGGGGCTGGGACAGAGAGGCCCACGTCACATCTAATGTCCCTTTGTTCCAGGGTACGTGGCTGACTCTTCCTGCTTTGGTTGATGACTTTGCAGCAAGATCTCCCCATGCAAAGGTAAGACAGACTTCCAAATGAGGTAGGGAATTGCAGGAGTGGTGAATTAGGATTACCTTTGTGCAGTCCCGGGACATTTTCCTGAGCTGGGGAACTTTTCTCCCTAATGTGCAAGGCATATGTACCCACAGAGGACAGGGACTCGGGGCAGGGGCTCTGTGGATCCTTTGTGGCAGGGCTGGATCCTGTGGCTCTCCCTCCCACCACCTCAAGTCATCATGTACTTTAAGGAACTAGTTTCCATGGCAACCAATTAGTGTCAGAAAGTGAGGGCTGTGATGTCAGAATGGGGGGTAGGGTGAGAAATTTCCATTCCCCATATCCCTGGCTCCTGGATCACTGTCTGCAGTCTTGCAGGGAAAGCTCTAGAAGAGATGCAGGACATTGCACTCTGGAGAAGCACATGTTCTGGGTCAGGGCCCAGGAGTCGGGACAGAGTAGAAGATCCAATTCACCTGGCAGTGTCCCTACCTGCCACTTCGACTCCAAAATGCGGGCAAGGCAGTGGGCCCCGTAGAGAGACAGTGTGGGCATACTTAGAAAGGTAACAATGATCTGAGACCATTGCTGGCACTCCTCCCCCTTCCGTAGGAGATCCTAGGCTTGCTTTATTTGTGGGTGGAGGCTGTAAACATGGCCCAGAAGGAAGGAAGTCTTGGCTCAAAGAAGTCTTGTCATGCAGCTAGCATAGAGGCAGGGGTACAGTATAGTTCCAGCATCCTAGTTAGTCTTCATGGAGAAGGGGCTTCAATGTAAAGCTCATCCAGAGTGACTTTGTCCAGAGTGACCTGTTCTCAGGCCTCATTTGAGACTTGTCACCCCCCAAGGCTGGATGTTTTGGTCTATGGGAGGAAAGTACATGCTTTAAATAAAAGAGTAGGAAGCCCAGCTAGGAATACATCCAACAGTGTAGGAGAGATATCCAGTGGGCACTTGGCTCCTGGTTCTTGGGGCAAAGAATGAGATATGGGTAACAGAACTCCAGCAGTTTGAACCCCTAGATCCTTGGGACCATGGTTTAGCTTCCCGAGGGACAGTCTGACCAGTCTGGGGAGGTCATTCCAATCAGGAGACAAAAGGCAGAATGCAGAGAACCTTGTCTGTAGGAGAAAAAAGAAGGTTGGGCATTCAGTCACCAGACTTGATGGCCAAAGTATGCCGACCCCATCATGCCAGCCATGCAGAGCCTTCTGTAACAGTGATGAGGACATCAGTGATGATGATGAGAGACAGCAACAGCTATATTTCCCTGGCCCTCCACAAAACACCTTCATCCTGCAGTAGCCCCACTAGTGGGTAGGTAGGCAGTACTCATCTGCAGGTTAGGTCTGGAGGCAGACTTTGGGATGGAGACCAAGGTGCTAGAACTTTACTTGGGATTCTCAGTAGTGCAAGAGAAGGCATTTCTCCAGAGGGAGAAATTGGGCTGTGCTGCAGTCTCAAAAAAGGCCTCAAGGGGACTCTGAGGCAGGGATGGCCCTTCTGGCCAGTCCCGAGGTAGAGAGAGGTGGCTGGGCCTTCATATGCCCATGGCGACAAGGCATTGGATGCAGGCTGCCCAGGGAAACACATGACCTCAGGTGACGCAGCTCTCTTCAGCAGAGACAAATCCAAGGGGGCCTGACAGGACAGGGCAACAGTTGGAGGCCCTCTCTCAGTCCCCAGAGAAGTACAACATTGCACCACAGCCTTTGCTGTAGCTCAAGTTCAGAGAGGTGTAATGAGCTGCCTTGTCGCTAGCACAGAGGCAGGGCTACTGTATAGTTAGTTATGGCATCCTACGCTTTGTCTTTCCTTCACGGAGAAGGGGTTTCAATGTCAAACTAGTCCAGAGTGACTTCGTGAGTAAATTATCGAGGGATCACTAGCCCCGGGCTCTAAGGAGGCTAGGCAGTAGGAGCTGGGGGGCGGCGCTGGCCTACATGGGGGGCTGGAAGGGGAGCTCAGGGTTCTACACCGCAGGGGCAGACAGGGTGCAGCGACCCTGTGCCAGGCCTCTGGAGAGCCGGCTCAGCTTGGCCAAGGTCCAGGGAGCCTCCTTCCTCTCTGGAAAGCCGAGACTGTGGCCTTAATCCCTCTCAGCGCAGGCCACAGAGCTGGCTGATCTTGGTTGCAGGAGAAAATTTCCTGACAGATGTGTCGGATTGACCAAAAGATGAGGGGGCTTTGAGGAGATTATTCTGCCTGCTTGATGCCTGGCTGTTGGGCTGCGGGGAAATGGAATCCCTGAGGGTCTCCCTGGGGGCTTTTGGAAGGGGGCACAGCAGTCAGCAGGGGTCTGGTAATGGTCAGCCACCCTGGCCAGCCCCAGGGCCAACCAGCTGCCTCAGGCAAGTCTGGCAGAAGATGTTTGCTGAGGGCTTGACAGAGGGGAAGGAAGGAGTGGACAAGGCGACAGACAGAGGTGAGAGATCGCAAGGTTCTCACAGGACAGAGAAGGGAAGGGGCTGGCTCTGTCAGCACTAGCCATTCCCACAGACAGAAACTGGAGAAAGGAAGTGCCCAGTCTGGGCTCGACTGCAGGCTGCTGGACTGGCCCATTCAGGTCCTATTCAAGATTTTGGAGGTCATTGAAGAGTGTTGTGCAGATGTGGTGGGGGTGGGGCGCAAGCCATGAGTATGGGAGACTGAGGAAGGGAATCCACGCCCTTCCCTCACCTTCCATGTTGGAGTTGCTGAGAACACAGCCTGGGAGTGACGACCTGAGGCTCAAGAGGCCAAGGGCAGCTCCTGGGTCTCTGCTAGGGAGACTCACAAGGACTTGCTGGTCCCTACCCAGTCCCTCCTTTGCCCTGAGGGCGATGGACATGTGGCCCACGGTCCTTCTTGCCCTTTCCTGGGTGGGAGGCAGGAGTGAGCGGCAACAGCTTCTGTCCAGGAGACTCTGATTGGAAAGGGATGGTTAGTTTTGGGGTTTTTTGTTTTTTTCAACTCTGCCAACTTGCCCCTCCCCACATACAAATTTCCCTTCATGACCTTGTGACTCTTCCATTAGGTCTCCTTTCTTCTTGCTTCAAGAAAAAGCCAGGCGGGGAGGGCCCGGGACCAGGGAGGGAGGCGAGGCGGCGGAGAGGCTGAGCCAATCGCGCGTCTGCAAGGTGCCAAGCAATCAGCGAAGCCGCTGGTGAGCGGGGTCACTCAGTAGTGTGCACATCAGGGTGAAATCCTTTCAGCTCTTCTCCAAACCCCTAGTGAAAGACAATCAGGCTCGCTGTCACCGAGCTAATTCTGTCTATATAAAAGCAGTAATGAAATTCACGGCAGGATTACCCTCTCCATCCAATGGGCCAGCGTCGTGGTGACATATCTCTCTTATTGCCCGAATGTAACACACCATCTAATTTACGTCGTGTAGCGAGCAGGAATGAAATGTTCATAAAGAATTGCTGCATCTCGTCACCTTAACTGCGGCCCGGGGCTCTGAGGCATCTGTCAGGGAGAGGAGCAGGAGGAGGGAGGGCGGGTGGGGCTCAGGGAGCAGCAGCCGGGGGCAGGCGTTCTGGGGGGTTGTTGTTAATAGGGTGAAGTGGAGGCAGAGGGAGGCAGGGGCTGGGGGTGGGGGTGGGGGGCTAGGGAGAAGAGCAGGGGAGGGGGCATGGAGGGCTTTGGAAGGCAAGGATAAATAAGGGTAGGATGAAGTGGTCTGTAGGGAGTGTTTGGAAGTCTCTGTAAGTGTGGGGAGCCAGAGAAGCTGAGAGTATGTCTGGGTTTGGGTGAGTCTGGAAGGATAAATGAGTGCCTCCGTGGGGGCTGGTCGGGAAAATGACCCTCTAAGTTCCCTCCCAGATACTGTGGGGTGTCTTGTAGTCTCTCTCATTCTCTGGAAATGGAAATCCATCCACCTCCAAAGACTATCAGAACTGAACTCTTAGGCAGACGAGGTAGGAGACCTTTTCCAGAAACAAACAAGGAACAGACAGATAGATGCTAGGAACAAGTTTTACAGAACTAGGACTTACCCATGGCTCCTCTGCTCCCTCATCTGTCACTGCAGGGCCACCATCAGTGAGCTCTCTCACTTACCTTCTCCCACTTTCTCTTTATTTACACCACCTCAGTCCAAGGCCACTGCCATCTGTTGCCTGGCTGCCCCAACCCTCTCCTGACTGTGGTCTCCACAGGTGCCTTCTTGCCCCTTCAACTCAGTTGGGTGGTGGTCATGTCACTCTTACAGTCCCTTCACTTGGAACCCTGCTATGGTGTCCCCTTGCTTTTAGAATGAACACTGGAGCCCATGATTCCAACATCTTTGCCCTGTATTGGCCTTTTCCTGTTCTCTGAATGCGCCGCCTTCTAACCAGCCACTGGGGCTGTGCACGTGAGGTTGCATCTTCCTGGAAGACTCTTCTCAGGGCAGCAGACCGCTCTAGTGTGGCCTTAACTCGCCCCACTTCGGGTGTCAGCTGGCCTGTCACATCCTGGAGGAAGCCTTTTGGGCCTACCCGGACTTGGTTAGCGCTCTCTTCCTTGATTTGCTTTCTTAGCATCATTTACTTTCTTGTGCAACACAGGTCATACATTGTAAGGATCCTGGGTTTTGTACGACTATTTGATTACAGTCGGTGTTCTCCCACTGGACTCCCACGGTCCTGTGAAAGCAGGGGCCGTGTCTGTTTTGCTCATCATTATGTCTCCAACACCCGGTACAGTTCCTGGGGACACTGTAGCTACTCAATAAATATTTGTCTAAATGAAGAAATGAGGGGCTTGCACAGCCACTACAGGAGTAGAAACACTGCTCCTTCCTTCTTTCATTCATTCAGCAAACATCTACTGAATGTCTCCTTATGGGCCAGGCATTGTCACAGGTACTGTGGCCACATGGTAAATGATCTAAGACATGGTCCCTTCCCCTGAGGAGCTCACAGTCCAGGGAGGGAGACAGACAAACTCTGGTGTCTGTCCTGTGCTGCTTCACTCCAGAGAGAAGCTGTGTCCTGGGCCCACTGTGAAAGTCACCAATGAAAAGTGGCTGATCTGGGGCCACATAAAATTCTCCTAAACTTCCCCCAGACATAGCTTGGTCACCACTGGGGGTAAAATACGACAAAAGAAAGAGACTTTATTAAAGGGGCATAATTGGAATTCTTTTACTAGTGCTAATAAGAAGCATTTATTGAGAATCAACCGTGTGCCAAGGCTCTCTTCTCATGTAACCTTCACAATGACTGTGACA